CAAACTGAATAATTTTAACTATAAACAATCAAGAGATAATCAAACTGGTCAGTCTAACACTTGACATAAATGTCCTGACATTAGTATTCTTTCTGAATAGTTTAAAAAAAAACAAAAACAAAAAACAACAACTTTTTTTTTTCATTTGCTAATACTTCAATTTTTTTTTTTTTCCATTTTCTGGTGTGTTGAAATCTTTCTCATAAAATAAACTCAGTTTTTCGTAACTTAATGAAATAATTTTAAAACTCAAGTATTTCTATGAGTGGTTTTAAAGCTTAACAGTTTAAGCAAGGAACTCTATGTATCTGGTTCATATGATTTTAATCCTGCCTTATTTCTTTTTTTTTTTTTTTTTTTTTGGTGGAACCGGGGATTGAACTCAGGCCCCTGCACTTGCCAGGTAAGCGCTTATTCCACTGAGCCATCTCCCCGGCCCAATCCTGTCTTATTTCAACTGAACATTTACATTCTTTAGCATTTTTAGAGTTTTGCTTCAGTTATTTTGATAATATAAATTAGTACTTGAAACTATAATTCCATAGAAAACTCCATACCATAAACTGTAAGCTAAATTTTAAAATATTAAAAGGTTAAAATCCTGATTAAATCCTTTTCTATTACAGTAGTAAAGGTATCAAATATGAAATTATCCAAAATCATACCATTATCCCCAGTTCCACAAAAAAAAAAAAAATCATACCATTTTCCCTCTTGGGACAAAAAGTCTAGCTCTAGTTCAAAATTCATCAAAATGACCTGAATCCTCTCCAAAAATTGTATCAAAATCTGCATACACAGCTTGCCTATGATTCTGCTTGAATATCCAAGACAAATTTACATAAATTAACTTCAACACAGTATTTAATATGTAAAAACTGCAAAAGAAAACTGTCACTATGTAGCTCAGGCTGGCCTTGAATTTGAGATCCTTGGGCCAGTCTCCCTACTGCTGGGATTACCGGTGTACGCCATCACACCCAGGAGCTTAAATCTTAATCCTTATAATTAAAATGTGCCTACAGATGCTTCATTATGAAACAGTTATTTAAATCCAGATATATATTAAATGTTCATTTTAGTTAGGTAGAATTTACTACTATATTTTCATAAAGTACCACAAATCTAATTCTTAATCAGTGGGAGGTGTTAGGGGTCTACATAATCCAAATAAGGACATCTAAATGTCTACTAATAATATATAAAACTCCTTGATGAAAAATGTAGGGTATATAATTAAGCAACCTAATAATCACTTACCGTTGGATTATTTTAATGTTTTATATGCTTAACAGTTCCAAATCAAGATATTAAATAATGCCTCTGACAGATTATAACCCACTGACTAAAATATAAATCCAAAAATGCATAGTGGCATAAATCAATAAAGGAGGAAGCAAGGAACTTTTTTTTTTGCATTTGGTACAGGGTCTACAGGGTCTCATCATGTAGATCGGATTCATAGTGATCCTCCTGTTTTCAGCCTCCCAAGTGCTGGGATTACAGGTGCGCACTACCATGCTCAGTCTCAATTGTCTTCCCAGTGCACCCTGGAGATGGGGCTGGCATGGCACACAGGGGATCGAACCCCGGCCGCTGCACTCTGCCCTCAGCAGGTGCTTTAGTCTGCTGAGCTATCTGGCCGGCCCTCAAGAACTTTTTTTTTTTCTGGCGGAACTGGGGATTGAACTCAGGCCCTTGTGCTTGCCAGGGAAGCACTTATTCCACTGAGCCATCTCCCCGGCCCCCAAGAACTTCTTTTTTGTGTGTGTTGTTTTGTTTTGAGATAGGGTCTCCCTATGCAGTTCAGGCTAGCCTTGAACTCACTCTGTAGCCCAGGCTGGCCTCATACTCGCCTCACACTCATGATTATCTTGGCTCAGCCTCCTGAGTGCTGGGATTACAGGTGTGCTCCACGAGGTTTGGCCAAGAACTTTGTGTGTGTGTGTGTGTGTGTGTGTGTGTTTTTTTAATATTTTAGTACAGGGTCTACAGGGTCTCACTACACAGATCAGACTCTTAGTGATCCTCTTGTTTTCAGCACTGTCTCAGAGTGCCCTGGGGGCGGGGCCGGCACAGTACACCAGGGATGGAAGCTGCACTCTGTCTAAGCAGGCGCTTTAATCTGCTGAGCTATCTGGCTGGCCCCCAAGAACTTCTTAGAGTGGTTTCCAACTACAAATGCCGAATCAAGATGGAATTAGAAAATCATTACCTGGCAAGCATTACTGTAATAAATGACTCAGTCATGAATCATCAATGGGTACAGAATAAGTAGAACGTCCAATGAGAAACTGGATTTTTATACAGTATCTCCTCAAAATATGCTTATTAATAACGAAGGGAAAAAAATAGTAACTTTAGAGTGGAGAAAGCTGACAGGTACCAACTCAATAAAGCCATTAAAATAGCATCATTAATAATAGGACAAACTGATATCACATAACTTAGATGTAAATAGGATCCATGACTGGCCCCTGAACTAGATTTTTTTTTTCTAAAAAGAACATTATTAGGGCCAAGGATACAGCTCAGCAGCACCTGCCTGGCCAAGTGCAAGGTCCTGAGTTTAATTCCTCGTACCAAAGCAATAAAAAGGAATCCTTATTGGAACAACTGGCAAAATTAGAATATATGGAATAGCTTTGATTAAATTTGACCTTGTTGGAACTGGGCATGATAGTGCATGCCTATAATCCCAGCACTTGGTAGGTTGAATCAGGAGGATCTCTGCGAGTTGAGACCAGCCTGGAGGTTACAAAAGTGAGCACAAGGCCAGCCTAAACTGCATATTGAGACCCTGTCTCAAAAAAAAAAAAAAAAGACACTGTCAATGTCAATTCCTTGAATGTCCTTGTTTTTAGAAAATTGGGTATCATACTCAGTTCAGGAAAAAATAACACAGATAATGCAAATGTGGTAAAATGATAACATTTGGCGAACCTGAAGGGTATATGTGAATACTTTATACTATTCTTGCAACTTTTCTGAAATCATGAAATTATGTAAAAATAAACATTAGGGCTGGCCTGATAGCTCAGCAGGCTAAAGTCCCTGCTTAGGCAGAACGCAGCGGCTGGGGTTCGATCCTTAGCGTGCTGTGCCAGCCCTGCCCGGGGTGCACACCGAGAGGCAATTGAGACAGGGCATGGTGGCACATGCCTGTAATCCCAGCACTTGGGAGGCTGAGAACAGGAGAATCACTGAGTCTGATCTACATAGTGAGACCCTGTCCTAAAAACAAAAAGAAAAAAAAAAGAAAAATTAAACCAGTTAAAAAAATAAAAGGCAAACAAAACATTAGGTAGAATGCAAGAAAAGAGATGATTTCTCAGAGAGTAAATCATAAATATACCTTTGGCTTAATTGCTCATGTCCTTATTGTTGCTTTTAGTTAACATCATGGGGTACTCTACAGGCATGCTCTCGTCCCCTCATTTTACTGTATTATATTTATAATTTTTTTTGAAACAGGGCCTCACTATGCAGCTCAGGCTGGCCTTGAGCTCACTGTGGAACTCAGGCTGGCCTTGAACTTGCAGTGATCCTCCTGCCTCTGCCTCCTGTGTGCTGGGATTACAGACATGCACCACCACACCCAGTTCCCTCAATTCACAGATGGGCAAACAGAAGACATTTAATAAAGTTCCCCAAACATGGTGAATTTGTTTTGGAATGGAGCAAAGAAAAGCTCCTGTCTAACTGGTAACGCAGCACCAAGATGCGCTACAGCTAGACACTCCTGGAGGCGTTCATTTACCTTGCTCGGTTGTAAATCACGGGCTCGTTCTCTTCCTGGACAGTCGTCAGCATATCCAGGTCATGGAATATTTTCTGCATGTAGTCCAGATACTTATATCCCGACGCTCTCTCTACTATGGCTGCCAGGAGGGTATAGCCAAATGTTGAGTACAAGAACTGACTACCTTGAGACATGATTGCAAGGAGGGAAAGCAAAGAGAATGTTTGATTATTATTCAAACAGTAAAAGCTGTTTTCCCACTGAATGTAGATATACCTTTAAATCTCAAATATTTTACTTCAGCATTTAGCAAAAGATCGCAAGTGATACATCCACAATGTAGCTCACTTTGCGACGGCCTTGTTTATCCCATCTCCCTTTCACAAGAACAAAGGATGGTCAGCATAGTCACTTGAAAATTCACATGAACATGTTCCTTTCTTTGATTAAAAATATAAACAAATAAATTCTACCTCAAAACAAAAGTCCTTCAAACTGACAAGGGGAAGGAAAGCACATTCTTGAGTAAGTTGTCTTGTCCTCAACTATCTACTAGAGTTTAAGGTAGAAGAGCTCTGATTTTAATAAAATATATGTGAACATAAAAACTTTGTTTCAGACACACATTGGAATAAAAATATATATAACCCTGTATCACGTTGGCTCCTGGAAACTAGACTTTGTGATCTGTACTAAATATGGGGGGAAACCTTAAGATAAAAATCCATAATTATATTAAAATCTATTCAAGGGTCTTGCCATGTTGACCAGGCTGGCCTCAAACTTGCTATGTAGCCCAGGCTGGTCTTTTTTTTTTTTTTTTTTTTTTTTGTGGAACCGGGGATTGAACTCAGACCCTTGCACTTGCCAGGGACGTGCTTATTCCGCTGAGCCATCTCCCTGGCCCCCCAGGCTGGTCTTTAAATTCATAATCCTCCTGCCTCAGTTTCTCAAATTCTGGGATTATAGATATGTGCCCCATGCTCAGTCACCACTAATTTCTTTTCTTTTTTGAGACAGAGTCTATGTAGTATAGGCTGACCTTACACTCAGGTAGCCCACAGTAGCCTTGAACTCACGAGGATTGTCCTGCCTCAGCCTGCCAAGTGCTAGGGTTATAGGCATGCACCACCATGCCTGGCTCAACACTAATTTCTTGAAAGAATGAAGGCACAAAAAATACTAGCAATACTTTATCATTTCCATGTTGGACCAGGTTTTAGTTGCACAACTACTCCAACATTCCCATATAATTTTCTATGAATATATATATATATATATATATCACTTGTTTTTTTAAAAACTTTTATTTTTTTGGTAATAGGGATTGAACCTTGGGGCACTGAGGTAAACTAGCTAGCTAACTACCTATTTTGAGATAGGGTCTCACTCAGTCATCTAAACTGGCCTCAAATGTATGTGGTCTTCCTGTCTCAGCCTCCTAGGAAACTAGTCACAGGTGTGTAGCACCACTCCTGGCTTCCAGAATATCTTGATACTGAGAATCTTCTAAATAATTGGAGAGGGGCCGGGGAGATGGCTCAGTGGAATAAGTGCTTCCCTGGCAAGTGCAAGGACCTGAGTTCAATCCCCGGTTCCACCAAAAATAAATAAATAAATAAATAAATAAAATAAAATAAATGATTGGAGAGCCTCCCATGATGATAAATGTAAACAACCAAGTGCCTGAAGGGGAGGCTTTGTTAGAAACCAGACAGAAAGGCAAGCCCCTACCATAATGAACAACCACACTAAATTTAGAGTCAGAGATTTTTTTTTCAGTAGTGGGAATTAAACTTGGGACCTTGCCCTTACCAGGCAGGCCCTAATGCCACTGAGGTATATCCCCAACCACACTAAATTTTGGATTTCCTGCAAATCAACACTTCACTAAGGACTTTGCTAAGCAAAGGTATTAACACTCACCAGGCTTAAAGAACAATGGATCATTTTTAAATAATCTTAAGGATTCAATTGAATTTTCAAACTTTTCTTTCAAATACAATTCGCCTTGTTCAAAATCATTCTTTTTCTTGCCCAGTTTCAAATTCCGGCATTTGGCTTCATGGTCTGGTTCTGTCTTAGCTTTGGCCAAGTCATCCTTTTCATTACTTCTGCTTCCTTTTTCTCTGAATTCTTTTTCCTGGTCAGGTGCCAGTGTCCCTCTCGTCATGATCAAGGCTTTGTAAGCCTTTTCTTCTTTCACCTTTTTCATGTCCTTTTCATAATGACGAATTCCACTTAAATGGGAAATTAGTAATCTTGTTGTAACAGAAACCTAATTGTAAAAACATGAAAATGAAATTACAGTATTAAATGGTACAATCCCCAGTTAATACCTTTTGAATGAATGTCTTACTAATATTATGTTTTGAGATGGGCTGGAAAAATGTCATGCACAGACCCTTATCTTGATATTTCAGAAAAATACCCACCAGAGTATCATCTGTATTTTTATAAGATCCATTAAGGAAAACTGAAGTTAAAGTAAAAGAGCCTATTTGGAGCATTTTAGGCAGAGTCCCAGCGTAGCGTACCACACCACCCACAGAATCAACCGAGTTTCCTACCTTTTCACCTTCATACTCTTTTTCTGGGAACTCGGGAACATAGTGCTGTACTGGAATATCAAGATCCAGCTTCCCCGCTTCCCACAGTTTGGCGAGAGCGACCATGGTGAGGCTCTTGCTGATGCTGGCGATTCTCATGACGGTCTCTGGCTTACAGGGCACACGGTTCTCAATATCTGCATAACCTAGGCCTTAGAGGCAAGAAAGCCAAAAGTCTCTATTACAGCTTTACGGTCAAGCGAGCCTTCAAAAACTGAGCTCATCCTGCAAGATCCTCAGTGTTTATCTCAAGGAAAAAGGCTATCGCGTTTCCAGAAGTTGAGGATGGGAATTTTGGCAACACTCATAACAGTAAGAATAACAATTAATCGATCGTACAATGAAACTGAAATTGTACCATGCGCGCTTTTCCACTTGATTTACTCATTTTTTTTTAGCTTATGCTCACAATTCTTTTATTTTTTTTAATGTATGCACACGGTTTTATATACAATGCAGCATCATCCCATGTAGGGCATTTACTCTTATTTTATACATTCAGATGTTTGAAACACTTCTTAAGGCTACAAAACCACAATTCTTTTATTCTACGTTTTAAATAAGTAACATCCTTTAAATAAAACATCATCATTCTTCGGATTGTATCCATTCTTGATTTTTAAGTGAGTTTCCACTGAATTCCTTGAAATAGTCATTCAGGAAAAACAAACATTAAAAAAAAAAAAAGAAAGAAAAGAAAAGAAAAGCAAACATGAAGAGATGGACAAATCCAGCTGAGCACCAATTTTATTTGGCTGCAAATCAGAAGAAAAACTATGCGCTAGAAAGCTTTTGGAAAAATGTTTGTTTGGTTTTCATGCTCTGCACAGGGTACAAGTACAGAAATTTAAGAGACATAGAACGTAAGTCTGAGGGCAGCCCACCTTCCTGCCCCAAGGAAGCTCTTCTTATTCCCCAATAAATTTCCCTACTAAAAAAAAAAAAAAAAAAAAAGAAAAGAAAAAAAAAAAGAGAGAAGTCTGAAAAGAAAGATAAGGAGTACAATGACTCTTTAAAAATCAGAAATATGTATGATACTGAAAATATGTGCAGAAAAATAAAGTCCTTGCCAGGCATGGTGGCATAAGCCTGTAATCCCAGCACTTGGGAGGCAGAGGCCAGCCTGGGCTACATAGTAAGTTCAAGAGTAGCCTGAACTACAAACTGAGACTCTGTTCTCAAAAAACAAAACAAAAGTCCCTCACATGTAGTTTATGTTCATTAAACTGATAAGATTTTTTATAAATAGGTGCCCTATTTCTTCCATCAAATTTTCCTAAAACGGTACTTTCTTTAAATGAGATCTAAAATGTCATTTACTAAAAATAAGATTCCTAAAATCCTGGGGTAACTAACTGGATCCATTCTTATACAATGGAAGTTATGTTACAAACTGTGTTTTGATTCAAAAAAAATTATAAAATTTAAAAAAAAAAACCAAAAACATAAAGGGCCAGCCAAATAGCTCAGCGGATTAAAGCATCTGCTTAGGCAGATGCAAGGGCCAGGAGTTTGATTCCTGGGCCTGCTGTGCTGGTCTCACCCCAGGGGTGGGCTGAGACCAGAATGGGACTGGGGGACTGGGCGTGGTGGCACGTGCCTGTAATCCCAGCACTTGGGAGACTGAAAACAGGAGAATCACTACAAGTCTGATCTACAAAGTGAGACCCTGCAGACCTTGTCCTAAATACCTGCCCCCCAAAAAAAACCCATAAAAATAAAAGTGTCATGAAATGAATATGCCACTTAACACCTGTGCCTTGTAAAGGGGGTAATAAATGAACCATAAATTCACAGAGGATAAGGAATAGTTTGCATTCTTATTAATCAGTACACTGCCTTTTCCAAAACAGAAGATTCAATCGTGGATCGAATTTGTGTGTGTGTGTGTGTGTGTGTGTGTGTGTGTGTGGCTGGTTCAGCCTCCCTGAGGGTGGGGCGGGCCTAAATTTGCCTAAGCAGGTGTTTTAGACAGCTAAGCTTTCTCACTGGCCCATGTGGACTGAATTTGAAAGTCAAAATATTCTAAAATTTTATCATACCATTTTAAGGGCTACTAATATGCAATATTGGATATTTGATGGCTTAATAGATTGCTCTATATACAACTTTCAGACTAATAAATCCAATCCTATGAGAAAAGTACAGAAAGAAGCCATTTTTAAAACTCTAGGGCCAGGTATGTAGCTCAGTGGCACAAGTGCCTGCCTGGCAAGCACAAGGTCCTGAACTCGATTCCTGGTACACCTGTCCCCAAGACTCTAATTATTTTATTAGTTATCATTTATGCACTTATTATTTTATGTATTTGGTATAGGGTCTCACTATGCAGCTGGGACTCATAGTGATCCTCCTGTTTTCAGCCTCCCCAGCGCTGGGATTACAGGCATGTACCATTACTTCTGGTCTCGGTGGCTGGCTCAGCGTGCCCTGGGGCAGGGCCGGTACTGTATGTGGTTCGGGGATTGAACCCCGGTCCTTGAGCTTGCCTAAGCAGGCACTTAGTCTGCTGAGCCATCTTGCCAGCCCTATTCACTTATTTTTGATGCTAGGGACTAAACTCAGTGCCTCAAACATGCTAAGCACACACTCTTCTACTGATTCACCGGGCCAGCCCTATTAAGTACATTTGAAATTTTACTGAGATTAAAAAAAGAAAATCTTGCATTCTTCATTCGAGACATGTTGTCTCTACAACATGTATCTCTTCACGTAAACTGCAGAAAGTTCATCAAATTCTCTCCCACCAGCAAAACATCAATATTTTATTTACCAACTGGCAGTACACAAGTCACTAAGACACTTTTCTGAGCCCACCTTCCGACCAGACTTCTCTTCCATCTACAGAAACTCCAACCACTATGCCGGGTGCGCCCACCTCATCCTAAGAGGGAAAAGGAGAAGGAAGAGTTGAAAGATGGGCTGAGTCACCTGTACACCTCCAAAAACTCTCAATCTGGGCATCCCCAGGAACCCTCCTCCCGGCCACGCCCCCGCGCAGGCCACGCCCCGCGCAGGCCACGCCCCCGGTTTCCGGGCCGCTAGCCGCGAGGGGTGCCCCGGCCCTGCAAGCTGGCGGGACAGACAGGGCGGTCCACAGGACAGGAGGTGATCTCACCCCGACTTAGGCAACCCGACTTGGGCAACCTCGAGAGGGTGAGACCGTGGCCGGGCGTCGAGAA